TTGCTGTTTAATTGGAGAAGCCGACAAACATTGCGATTGCCTGTGCCTGCCATGTGGGAGAACGTTGCTACAAAATCTGTCAAATAAAATCACCGGCGTTTTCAGCAAGCTACCCGAACCAAGGATGTTTGTCGGAGACCTCAATGGGCATCATCCAACTTGGGGCTGTCCTCGTCCGGATCCTAGAGGAAGCATCCTAATGGACCTACTCGATCAGGAAGACATGGTGGTGCTCAACCATGGAAACCCAACATTCTTCAACGGACGTCACGCCACGGCTATCGACGTCTCTTCGATCAGCCGTTCCATAGCAGGAAAAGTCACGTGGTGCACCAATGCGGATTTGTACGGAAGTGACCATTACCCCATCCAAATGCAGCTTTCGTCAGCCACGGCCTCAGAAGTCACGAAAAGGCCTCGCTGGCGGTACGACGAGGCTCACTGGGATGGTGTTAGATGCTGCATCCGCTGCCATACCAAAGACCAGTAGCCTACCTGGACGAAAAGCTCTCCGTTGGTGGAGCGAAGACACACACAAAAAGCCGTTAAAGCCCGCCGGAAAGCTCTACGGAAACTCAGGCGAACCCCGAGAGATGACCCAAACAGGGAAGAGCTACTAACCCGGTACCGTGCACTGCATATTCAATGCAGAAAAGAAGTGAGAAGTGCGAAGCTTAACAGTTGGTCTAGTTTCCTTGAAAGCATCAACGCCTCCCAGTCCTCTGCCGATCTCTGGAGCAGGGTTAATGCTCTCAGCGGTAAACGGCACTCGACGCCATTACATGTACAAGCTAACGGAGTTACCATCTTCGAACCGGCAGCCGTCGCCGAAAAACTCGGAGGGTATTTCGCAGAAATTTCGGCCATCTCCGGTTACGATAGCCACTTTCAGCGGTTGGCAAAGCCTACCCGTACATCAATCGCTGAGTTCAGCATCCCGCCTGACACGGACAACCTCAAGATCAACGAGCCTTTCTCCTGGGAGGAACTCCAGCACGCACTAAGCCGCAGCAACGGCAAATCTGCGGGACCTGACGATCTCGGGTATCCACTTTTAAAAAAGCTGCCCCTTGAGGGCAAGTGTTGCATGCTTGAGATGCTCAACCAACTCTGGGTCTCTGATACCTACACGACGCTGTGGAAGGAGAGTCTCGTCGTGCCCATCCCGAAGGCAAACGAAAAAGACAGGGGCACATCTAAGTTCCGACCGATCGCTCTCACATCCTGCACGACCAAGGTATTCGAACGGATGGTGAACCGTTGACTCAAGATGTTCCTTGAGACCAACAGCTTGCTCGACCACCGACAACATGCCTTTCGACAAGGTTTCGGTACGTCCACGTACTTTGCCACTCTGGGGGACGTGCTCAAGGAAGCTTACGACCAGTAACACCACGTTGAAATCATCTCTTTGGACATCTCCAAGGCTTTCAACCGGACGTGGACGCCAGCCGTCCTGAAAAAACTAACAAACTGGGGCTTGAAGGGGCATATGATGTATTTCATTCGAAACTTCTTGACCGACCGGTCATTCCGTGTATTGGTGGGGAACACGCGGTCGAAATTTTTCAGCGAGGAGACCGGAGTCCTTCAAGGCTCCGTTATCGCAGTCACGTTGTTTCTGGTGGCAATGAACGGGGCGCAACCGGCTACCTGGGCGCATTTATATATGTGTTTACGCTGATGATGTGCTGATTGTGGCCACCGATCCTACACAGATCCGAACCCTACGGCAAGCACAAGCGGCAGTCTCTGCCGTAGTCAAATGGACCGACTCGATGGGTTTCCAGCTGTCCGCCAGGAAGAGCATCCGATGCCACGTATGTCTGTCTCAGCACCAAGTTAATAGCACCCCAATTACGATCCACGACCAAGCCATTCCAAACAGGAAAACAGTTCGCGTCCTCGGCGTACTGATCGACCGTACGCTCTCCTTCGACCAGCATTTCCAACAGGTCAAAAAGGACTGCCGCAGTAGACTCAACCTCGTTAACACGATCTCTCGGTCTCACCGATCCAACAACCGCGATGTTCGGTGCCGGGTGGCGCGAGCCATCATCGACAGTAGGTTGCTTTACGGGACGGAAATTACTTGCATCGCATCCGAGAATTTGGTTAGAACCCTGGCACCAGTCTACAACAGCTACATCCGCATCATATCTGGTCTCCTGCCATCCACTCCAGCAGACGCCGCATGCATCGAAGTGGGTCTTCTTCCTTTCCGGTTCTGCTTAAACGCAAATATTGCCACAAAAGCCGCCACCTTTTCCGCCAAGACCTCCGGAAACAATAGGATCTTTCTCCTCGACGAGGGGAACAGAGTCATCTGCACGGCCGCCGACATCGACCTCCCCCCAGTGGCCAAAGTCCATTGGCATGGAGAGAAAAGTTGGCACTCTTCTCGAATCCAATTGGACAATCGGATCAAGAACCGCTTCAAAGCAGGAGATGCATCCATGATTTTGCGCAGATCGGTCGCCGAGTTACTTGGGTACGGCTCCCGATCGATAAACGGAGTAGGTATCGGAATTTTTGGAGACGGTATTGCTGAAAGCAGCAGTCTTCCTCCACAATGCTCGGTTTTCTCGGCCGAGGCTGCAGCGATCTTCCGTGCCGCTACGACGCCAGCCAACAAACCGATACTTATCTTAACCGACTCAAACAGCGTCGTTCAAGCGATCACCTCGGAAGCACCAAAACACCCATGGATCCAGGCGATTATCAAGTACGCCCCACCGAACACCGTGTACACATGGATTACTGGACACCGCGGAGTGCCAGGTAACGAGTCTGCTGATCACCTTGCCGGAGCCGGGACATCGGGTCCCAGACTCACCAACAAGGTACCCCTATAGAACGTCAGACGGTGGATCATGCGGAACATTCGAGTGGCATGGGAAGCCGAGTGGTTCCGCAACAGAACTGCTTTCATCCGCAAAGTCAAAGGGTCAACTGAACCATGGAGCGAACTGGACAACCTGAGGGATCAACGCGTGATTTCGCGGCTTCGAACCGGGCACACCAATCTCTACTATAACTATGGTGGCCTGCCGTTCCGCAGAAGCTGCATCATCTGTGGAGTACCCTACACCGTCGAACACATCCTGTGCAAATGCCCGGAGTTCCAAAATCTTCGGAAGTCACTCGGCCTAACTGCCAGCATCAGCGATCTACTCGGGAATGATACTTCGGCCTCGGCAGCACTAGTAACCTTCTTAAAAGAAGCCAAAATCTACCACTTGGTATAGCAGGAATTTCTTTCGGCCGTCGGGACATCTCAGCTGGATGGATTTCCCCTATTGGACCCATCGTTTGTGGCTTGTCTTAAATCATTTTGTTTTCCGCTATTCCTCTGTTTCATTATTTTATTTATTGTTATTTTTTCCATATAAGTTGAAGAGCCAGCAACCAAATTTATTTACAAAATGTTAATATACCATGTATTTAGTGGTTACTCACTCTGAGCCCTCTCCTTTCTCCGGAGATGAACTAGCCATAGGCTAAAAATCTGCTTAATAAAGAATTTAAAAAAAAATAATAGCTCCTAGTCTTCATAATCTTCATACAATCTTCATATCATTTGCACAACCTCTAAAACTTCAATAACCAATACCATTTGGTGCCTAGGCTAAAATTAAGCACTATGAATTAAACTGGAGGGTGGTCTTAATGATTTAGAATATTATTTTTTAAATGAAGCATCCTAATGGGACAACAATACGGGTTCATTCAATATGGGACTGCAAGGTGGGTACTTTCAATATGGGATGCACATGACGCACATTTTTACCACCAATAAAGACCATTCCTGACGTTATCTCAAAGGTGATGAAAACCCAAGTGGGACTGTAGTAAATATCTCTAATTCTTACAATCGAGCAGAGGGATTACTGATTGGACAAGCCTTCTTTCCATTACTGTAAGCACTCTCGAGCAATTAAGCTCAATTGCTCCATCTTATCGAGAATGGGTCACTTTCGGTGTCTGGATATAATTTACAGAAGCCTTAATAAATTGATATGATCCTTACTATAACAAATCCTCAAGGACCATTCCATCGGTCAGGCCACTCGAGCCCATTCGAACTGAACTCGATTATCCTTGAGCGATTAAAGTTCGTTTGTAGAGTTGAACAACCGAGTGCATGTGCAGAATGTGTTTGAATCACAAACATCTCATTCCTGATAGCATGCATCCGGGGGTAACAATGCTCTCCCGAATGTATGCAAACGCTCACACACACACAGAGTCGGCTCAGGGTCCCATTGAGTGGCAGCCAATTAGAGCTTTTAACGATGGCATGGACTTCATGCACACATACAAACATGGGCACATACAGGACATCACACGTGGGGCAAATGGAACGTGCTGAAGAATATTCCATTGCCAATTTATTGAATCATTTGTTTTCACCGATCCGCTCCGCCTTCCGCCTCCGTTCCAAATCCCGCCCGAAGAGATATGATTCCGCTTCCATGATATTATATTGCATAACCTCCTCCATGGTTGTTGAGGATGACGAGAATGGCGGTGATCGTCCCCGCCATACAATCCGGTACGCCATAGTTCATGTCGAAAATTGAACAAATTCCAAAATATACGCAAACATCGTTCTCCATGTCATGTCCTACCGCAGAGATATGGGAATAGGTTCACCATTTCGCACAACTTCTATTCCCATCGGTTTTGATTTGAGCATATATTTAGATTGCTGTGTACCTACACCAATCGACCTCTGCGAATTGGTCCCACTCATCTCTCCGGTGGTTGTCCTGTATACAGTTGAGGCTGACGCAAATACGAATCTGCAGGCCGTCTCCATAAATTTATTTATTCAACGCTGAACGCCGCTGTTTGATTTGCAACTTCACTGCCTAAATTGATTCGTTTTGCTTTTTATTGGTACCAATAAGCGGGCGATAGTTGTAGACGTATTATTGCCACTATGGGAGGCATTTTCAGAATGATTTGCATTTTCCTGCTGGTTACAATACTTACCTAAGTTTCTGTTGTTTTTTTGCAGTTTGGTGAACCAATCAATGGCCTATCTGGATGCGGGGCAAGTTCGACGTGTGCTGCACGAAGCATTGGATCTTTGGGCTCAGAATGCGAATTTGACCTTTCGTGAGGTGTACAGCAACGAGGCAGACATCCAAGTCTTGTTCGCGAGGCAATTCCACGGCGATGGCTACAAGTTTGACGGACCTGGTAAGATCTTGGCTCATGCGTTCTACCCCGGCACTGGCATCGGAGGTGATGCCCATTTCGATGAAGAGGAGACTTGGCTGCTGAATGAACCACTGGGGACCGACGGTGAGTTGTTTGAAGGAACTGTCACGCCTTGAACTAATATTCTTTTTTCAAAATTCTAGGTACTCGGTTATTTGACGTGGCGGTTCATGAATTCGGTCATTCACTAGGCCTGGGACACTCTTCGGTCAAGGAAGCCATCATGTTCCCGTGGCATCATATCTCCTACCGTGGAAAAGACACCATTCCAGAGGACGACCGCCTTGGTATTCAAGGCATCTACGGTCCCAAAAAGAAAACTTACGGTCGCAACCCGGAACGACACACTCCCACAACCTCATCCACTACGACAACCACAACCCCGGCACCGCCACGTCGACCACCTACCCAGCGATACTATCCCCGCAAAGATCACAACGGTCACCCGTGGGAAGGCTTAGATCCCAAATACCCGACCTACCCGAAAAGAACCACCACCACAAGCACGACAACGGAGATCCCACGACGCCGTGCCTACTATCCGGACAAACCCCGCGGTGTCGGAACCACCTATCCCACGCGTCGCCCGTACCAGGAACAGCCCTATCCTCGGGAGCCGGACACGGAACGCCCCACGCACATTCCAACTCCAACCAAGGTACATCACCACCATCATCATCACCATCACACACATTATCCGGTCACGAGACCAACTCTGCCACCGACCCCCGAGCCATGCGACTCCAATTACGATGCCATCACCATCATCCGGAACGAACTTTTCATCTTCAAGGATCGCTACCTGTGGCGAATCTTCGAAGACGACGTCCGAAACCGACCACCAATCGAGATCGATCGAATGTTCATCGGGCTACCGAAGAACTTTGAGCGAATCGATACCGTGTACGAGAACAAGCACCATAAGATTGTGTTCTTCATTGGTAAGACCCATTATCCTCTCGATAAATTCTTGGCCTAATCAACCCAATCCATCATTACAGGTAAACACTACTACGTGTTTAACTCACGAGAATTGGAACCGGGTTATCCGAAGCCACTGACCCACCTGGGACTACCGGAAAGCATCGAGCGAATCGACGCCGCTTTGGTGTGGAGCTACAACAACCGAACGTACCTGTACAGCGGCCGACTGTATTGGAGGTAAGCGTTGAAAGACCAACAACGCGACCATTCGACGCTAATCAAAATTCCATTACATTCCAGATTCGACGAAGACGCCAACCACGTCGAACTGGACTACCCGCGGGACATGTCGATGTGGAAGGGCATCGGCTACAACATCAATTCAGCCTTCCAGAACCGGGATGGCAAGACGTACTTCTTCAAGGGCAAAGGCTACTGGCGTTTTGACGATCTGCGGATGAGTGTGACTCATTTGGACCCGCACCCGTCGGCCGAGCGATGGATGAAATGTAAACAGGAACCGAAACAGAAGGAACCCATCATACACATCACCACCGAGGATCAACGGGAGATCATCATCAGCGGGTCTGACGGCTCCGGTAGAAGGTGGACCGTCGGAAACGCGCTAGTGCTGGGAGCAGTTGTGTTAGTTAGTTTAAAAATTACCATTATGAGAATCCATTAGAATAAGTGTGCACGGGTTTAGCTGTGGCATAAAAGAAAAAAACAGAAGAAGGTTCCAGGACAGGCATTTTTTAGCACATTGAATTTACAATTTTAACTCAACTACCGGCAATCGAGATTTTTCCACTAGGGCGTAGCATTTTCAAAGGAACATTACACTGCCAAAAAAGAAAGTATTCAACACTAACATTTAAAAAAATGCGAATCTGCTGTTGTAAACAATAACTTCAGTAACCGATTTATCGATTTAGACCAGTTCCATGCCAAATGGGATAAAAAAGTAAGAGGTTCTATCCAAGACTCGACCGTAGATTTGACGCAGGATTACGTGCTTGGTATCAATATTTGGCGACTATGTCAGGGAAACCACATTTTGCAGGCAATCGGAAATAATTTTTATCACCATTGCAACAGTTGGACATTTGTGTAATTTTCAATAGTGACCTATTGAGAATTGATAAATAATTCATTTTAGCAGCTTTGTAGAAAAATTACCAATCAATTGGCTTGTTAAGAATTAAAATCCATCCGCTATTGACAGAGTTATAAGTGGTCAAAACCTGACCATTTTTCGTAGCGCGGTTTAAATGTTGCCGAAAGACGTCAAAATACAAGTTTAATACTCGACCTATTTCCGATTTACATAATTATGTTTTCTTTTTTATAAAAATTCGGCCATTTTGGATCTTGTCATTTTTTTTTCAAAATGGCGTCTTTGACATTTTTTAATAGATTGTAGTACTAAAACCTCACTTCTGATCTAAATGACGTCTGAGACAAAGTTGTTAAGAAAAGTAAAATAATTCTGGGAAAAATATTCAAAGTAATTTTTACAGTAATTTTGAGTAAAATTTCAAAAGAGTATATCTTCAATATTTATTTTTTTTATAAAGCTCATGAAATTTCAAACTGTAAGTATTCTAAAATCTCGGACTCTTGAAAATTGATAAAAATCGTTGAACATTAACTTTTTGTTATATTTTTAAACTTCTTGTTAACAAGCTTTTTTATGTAATGTTCGCATATGTGACAATTTAGAATGTCTCAATATTGTTTAATGTGTAGAAATTACATAAAAAAGCGTGCTAGCAAAAAGTTCAACTATTTGACCAAAAGATTTTTTGTAAATTTTCAAGTGTCCATGATTTTAAATATTCCAAAAGTTTGCAGTTTTATAAGCTTTAAAAAAAATCAAATCGAAAATATACTTATTGAGGTAATTGAGTTTTTAACACTTTGTTTAGAATTCTTACTCAAAATTACTTTAAAAATATACCATGCATATTTTTCCCAGAGAACTTTGTCTCACACGTCATTTCGATCAGAAATGACCGAATTTTTGTAAAAATGTGAATGATGTCTGAAGAAATGTCTGAAATGTATAAAGTTGCTGTGGTTTATTTGGGTGGGTTGAAGTTATTGATTAAAACAGCAGTCTCGCCTATTTCAAATGTCAGTGCTGTTTTGTCCATTTTTACACATATTTTAATTTTCCTAAACGAATTACTAAGCGACTTGTGCAATATAGTTATTAGTTCGGTCTGTTCACGCAGTATTTTCGAAAAGCCTGAGGGAATTTCTTGATTATGGCTGTAGCATCCTTTAGAGCAGCGCTGCCCAACGTGCGGCCTGCGAGCCGGACATGTACCCCCATATTCTCGTTTTCGTTCGAACCGAAAATGTATGAAAAATGCGAAAACTAGAACATGGGTGATGGTCTCTGGATCTCTTATTATTCTTGATTTCTTTATTCACCGACGGACATCGATTGCTATCCATTGACGGCATTCGAATGACCAGGAAGACGGCTTCCACGTGACCAGAGATTTATTCGCCTCAAAAACATCCCAGCGACCTCAACAGGGATTGAACCCAGACACACTGGGGTGAGATATCAGTCACGCTTACCACTACACACACCACCGGCGTTTTTCTCTCTAGATTTCAGCAATGATATCTTTCTAGGCCAATTTTATTCATCATTGTGAATTTTAGCCCCGAATCAATGATAAATAAACAAAATTCAACTTGAATCATGTTTATCGAAAATCCATTTTAAAGATCCAGTTTAGAAAGGTTGGGCAGGCCGCTTTAGAGTTTAGAATATTGAAATTCACGAAAAAATTAAATGTATGTAAAAACTATTCTCTTAAAAATAATTGTAAATCAAAGGTTAGTTAATGATCAATTAGCTTTCTTTTTAGCAAGTATCAAAACTAGAAAATGTACCGTAGTCTCATCTGTGATAGAAGAGCATTAGGGATGGTAAAAAATAAACGATCCATGAAAAATATCAAAAAAAAAACCTAACAAATCGTGCACAGATGACTTAGGCATGGAAACTTCACATTGTATGTGCGGCTACGGATTACCAAAAATGTCCTTACTAAATCAAATATCGTCACAACAGGATGCAATGAAGAGTGTACTGTAGTAGATTCGAGATAAAAAAAAAACGCTTCAACATTAGATTTATGTTCTTGTACTTGGCAATTGAACTTCCTCGGTTATAGCCGGCTACTTCAAGTACCGTCCGGTTATTCCGGGAGTTTGATTATCGATGACTGAATTTTATTCTTACATTAAATTCAGTAGCAGAATGACGGAGAAATGATAATAAAGAAAATGTGGACGAAAATTTGTGGAGTTTTCTTTTAACCTCATGGCCCTTATTACGGTTCTCACTTCCACGTTCACTTTCACTTCACGGACAGATCACTTTACATGTTTTTTTTTTTCCTATTACCATTGTCACCAACAGTGAAGTTATGAAAATGAACTCCGTGAAGTGACAGTGACAGTGAGGTGATTTTTGGAATAGCCCTGTTCATTTTTCGTGACGTTCATAATCGACTGCAAAGAACTGTGACTGTTTTGAAAATCGACGGAAATTTCCTTGCCAGTAAAGTTTTGTTTAATGGGTGTGGAATTATGGTTCGATACCGAAAGTGAAGGAGGAATATTCCAATCTTGCAGTAGATCGAAGGCGGATAAGGGATAATTCTAATTAGTTGGATCAAACAGAAAAATCGTAAGTATATGGATACAGATGGCTAGCTAAAATTTGAAAGTGTATTTTGAAATACACATTCAGTTCTTCAGAGTATATGCTATACCGTTATATTAACCTTGCTATAGTAGTACATACCTCACATAACACAAACTTGCTCACGCGCACCTTCTTTCGTACATTCCTTGTTTTCCCACGTGAGCAAGTTGAGTCCTGTCAATAATTTTCCCTCGCCATGCGATGATGCGCCTTATGCATGAAGAAGTATTATCATAGAGGTAACTCTAAGACTACTGGGTTGGTATTATTATATAAATAATTAAATAAATAGTTACAAAGTGTCAATTCTTTGCTCGACTGTCGAGCTGTTCAGTCCGTATTTTCACTCGAGTTCTCGATTCAATTTTGTTTCGTTTTGTGCTGACGCGTTGCGCCGTGGAAGTGTCACCAACAATCAATTCGAAACTAAAGATTTTAAATTGGCTCACTACTTGACTAGTCTATTGATGAATCTACGCGAAACTGCACCAGTGCATGCGACACCTAGGTTTGAAATCCAAAACCACGAAAGTGATGATGTACTAAAAAATATTCCATACGATTTGACAGCTAGCAAAACGTCATTATCATTTTCACATCATCTCCATCTGCTGGCCGACCGTAACGTAGATTCATCAATTGGTCCCAAGCAAATCGATTGACGTACCCCATGCTAGCTTAAATTCCAGTACTATACTATGTTTGTTTTGATCCACTATGAAAGTTTGACAGATAAAATTAGGGGTTCGTGGATTTTCCTATGTTTCGAGGGGTGCATCGATTAGCTTGGGGCCGAAGATAGTACCAGAGCTGAGCCAAAAAGTTGAGCTCGTTTCTTCGGGACCTTCTGGTCTTAGAGTTACCTCTATGTATGGTGTCACCACCTTCTCGCGTTCTGGCAAGTTTACAAATGGTGCGTAAACGTGCCAATGAGTCAGCAGCGGGCCCTTCAAAGAAGGTGCTAATCAAGTCCAGCGCGTCGCAGGATGACGCCGGAAAACGAGTACTGCAATCCAACCAGTATGCAGTACTCCTGGAAGAAAATGGCGATAGTGACGCCGTTCCTATTGCAAGAAGAGAGCGGATTCCCCCGCTTTTCACGCCGGTGAAGGATTTTGCCAAGCTGGGTGCCGAACTGGCAAAACACAAGCTGCTGCCTCGCTTCAAGCTTTGCAGCATCGGTACCAAAATTATGTGCTCCAGCCTGGAGGAATACAAACAAATAGAATGTTTCCTGAAGGACAACAGCGTGGACTTCTTCACGCATGATCTGCCATCGAGCAAGCCACTGAAGGTGGTTTTGCGTGGATTACCGTCGTTCGAGGCGACTGCGGTGAAATCCGAGCTGGAGCGGTTTGGGCTCAAGCCTGAGGCAGTGTACCCGATGAACCGGCGTCCCAACACCAGCTTCCGTGATCAGTTGTTCCTGGTGCATTTCACGATGACATCGAGCCAACGTGTGTCAACTGCGGTGGAAACCACTAAGCCTCCAATCGCGGATGTCCCAAGCGAGTGGAGTTCATTAATATCCGTCGGAAGGCCACAATCAACAACCAGCTCGGTCGCCTCCGTAATCATCGTTTGACTCCTGTACTCACGGAAGTCCAGTACCCAGCTCTTCAGCCCCGTTGACATGTTCCGAACCAAGCCCCGCTTCCGCTCAACAACCAACAAGCCAATCCTGCGAGTATCCAAATGGTTCCCAACAGTCGGACAGTTCAGCATCGTCTCGCTTCTGCTGCTGCGGCCCAACTAATTCCAAGTTCATCAACCACCCCTGGTTTGTCATACGCTGGTGCTGTCTCAGGTGAATCTGTCGTCGATTCTCCTTTCACCTCGGAGGAACTTATGACGCTCGTGACCGAGGTCATCATCATCATGCGCACATGCAAGACTCGATCTGAACAACTACACGCTGCCTTGTCCCTTGTCACTAAGTATGAACCGTGAAGCCATCAAGATCGTAAATTGGAATGCTTGCTCCTTGAAGAGCAAACACATCGAGTTTGATGACTATCTCAACTAACGGCACATCGACATAGCCGTCATCACCGAGAATCACTTCAAGCCCGAGCTGAACGTCTTCCTTCCCAACTTTCGGCTCGTAAGGCTTGACCGCACCAGCTCCGGGGAGGGGGAGTGGCCATCGCTGCGAGACGGAACATCAGCTGCTGGCTACTACCAAGCTTCTAGCTGAAAATTATCGAAGCCATCGGAGTTGAGGTGAGCACATCGCCATCATCGCGGTCTACTGCCCAAAGCAAACCAACATTAGGGACGGCTTGGCCGCAGACCTCCGAAGAGACATCATCAAGCTAACACAACAGCGACAAAATTTCGTCATCGCTGGCGACCTGAACGCCAAGCATCAAGCCTGAGGCAATAGTCGGCGAAACCAGAACGGCGCAATATTATACAACGATCTGCAGGAAGCCCACTACAACATACTGTGTCCGGACACTCCCACCCGGTTGAGTCGATCCGGAGCTCATGCCACCATCGAAATCTTCATCAGCAACATTGGCGATAACATCTCTCAACCTATCGCCTATCAGGAACTGAGTTCGGACCACTATCCGGTGGTGGCCGAAGTAGGTTCCTCGGTCAATAGGTTTCAAGTTTCCCGGCGAAATTACCATCGTGTCAACTGGCAGCAGTATCAGCAATCGATTACGACGTCCTACCGGAGTCGTTCGAAGAAGTCCATCAGTGTCTGAAAACCATCGAAGAAGCGATATCCCGTGCCAGGGAGCAACACGTACCAGCATCCAGACAGGTGAGTCATACTCTGAACCTTGACAGCCCAACCAAAGATCTTATCAGGCTCCGTAATACCATTCGTAGGCAGTTCCAGCGTTCTGGGCTTCCCCACTTGAACACCAATACTAACCAAAACTATCCAGGCCAGGATGGTGGAACTCAGAAACAACGATTTTACCAACAAGATTCGCTCTCTCCCAGATTGTGCAAAACGATTTTGGAAGATGACCAAAATTTTGAAAAATAAGTCGAGACCGATCCCTCCGCATTCCTCTGTTGACCAGGACTTGGACCCATCCCTACTCATAACCCCAGTTGAAAATACCAATGCTCTTGGCCAACATTTTGTGGCTTCACAAAACCAAACGATGGTGAGCCGTACTGGATGCAATGTCTAGAGTCGCTGACCCCCCCGTAGTAGTGCATGATGATAGTAGAATATCGGCTGATGAGGTGATAGTATGTGCGGGTATGGATGGTGTAGTCAACCTCGAGTTGAAAAACTTGAGTATTGACTTCTTCAACCATGTTACCGTAATCTTCAACAAATGTTTGGAGCTTGGAGCAATGTTCGCAGATGAACTAGCCTTTGGCTAAAAATCTCTCAAATAAAGATTTAAAAAAAAATCTCCATCATCTATAATGGTCGAGTGATCCGTGCTCAAGCGAGTAAACTACAATCAGGCCTGGATGTTCTGTCCGACTATTTCAAAAGCTGGAAGATTTGTATCAATGCAGCTAAAACACAAACCATTCTGGTTGATACTGGTTCGCCGGTCAGTATCATCAGTGCGGAATGCCGGAACCGACTGTTTCCGAGTGCGCGGTTGCGTGAATGTGATACGAACCTTGTTAGCTATTGCAATGCCAGCATCGACGTGCTTGGTATCCTCGACGCGTGTGTGGAATTTGCGGGAAAAACAATGACGATGCCGTTGTACTTAGTGAATTCTGGGAAGCACCCGTTACTAGGCCGCGAGTCGTTGAAGAAAATAGCGGTGGACTTGAACAACATGTTCCAGGGCTCGAGGGTTGTGAATACGATTGCTGCAACTATTTCCCCACGTCGTGATTCTGCATTCGAGGAAGTTTTGGAGAAGTACCCGAAGGTTTTCGAGGACTCGATCGGAAAGATTTCCCACGTTCAAGCTAGCCTACCATGGAAGAACAATGCTCGAGCCGTGTTTTTGAAGGCACGGAAGATACCCTTCAATATGCAGAGCGCGGTTGAGGACGAATTGGAGAAGTTGGTTGCAGAGGGTCTGCTCACGAAAGTTAACTCCAGTAACTGGGCAACACCGATTGTGCCTGTGAAGAAGTCGCAGAACTGGGTGAGGATTTGCGGAGACTACAAGCAGACCGTGAACCCGAACCTCGTGGTGGACAAGTATCCGCTGCCAACTGTGGATGAGCTGTTTGCTTCGCTAGCGGGAGGAAAGAAGTTTAGCAAGATTGATCTCATCCAAGCGTATCTGCAACTGGAAGTAGCTCCGGAGGATCGTGAAATACTAACGTTGAGTACTCACCGTGGTATTTACCGTCCGAATCGTCTAATGTACGGCAAGGCATAGATGGAGTAAGCGTTTTCCTAGATGACATCAAGATCACGGGGGAAAACGATGAAGATCATTTGCGTCGGCTGGAGGAGGTACTTCGGCGACGAGTGAATAAGCAGAAGTGCGAGTTCTTCGTGGACAGTAACGAATACCGCGGTTACTCCATCAATAAGGAAGGGATCCGTAAGATCCGGAAGAAGGTGCAAGCAATACAGGAAATGTCAAGGCCGAAGAATAAGGACGAAGTTCGGTCATTCGTAGGTTTCACAAATTATTACGGGCGGTTATTCAAGAACTTGAGTACGGTCCTGTATCCACTTAACAATCTACTGAAGAACTGTTCCATTCAGATGGACCAAGCAATGCGAAGATTTTTTTCAGGAAAGTGAAGGAACACATGCAGTCCGACAACTGCCTTGTCCACTACTCACCCGAACTGCCACTGCTGCTTGCTGCGGACGCTTCACCCTACGGAGTAGGGGCTGTCACGTGTACCCAGATGGCACGGAACGTCCAATCCAGTTCGCGTCCCAGACCCTGAACCGTGTGCAGCAGAACTATATGCAGGTGGACAAAGAAGCGTACGCCATCATATTCGGCATGAAGAAGTTTTTCCAGTACTTGTACGGTTGGAAGTTACGATTGATTACCGACAACCAGGCTATCTCAAAGATCTTCGGGTAGCACAAAGGGTTCCCGGTGATGTCATCGTTGAGGATGCAGCACTACGCTACCTACTTGCAGAGATTCGACTACGAGATCCGGTTCCGGAAGTCCACGGATCATGCGAATGCGGACGCCATGTCGATAATTCCGTTAGGAGTAACTGATCCTCAGAACTCTACCCTTGACTGTGGCCGAGTTAGGTCAAGCTAATGCGTTCAAGGAATCAAGTACAGTCAGCTGGTGGAAGCGAAGAATCGGTTAGGAATCGAGCAGAACGAATTCTCCCTACAGTGCCTGCTTCGAGGAATTCGCGTGTACGTGCCTACAGTAACCAAGTAACCAAAAGTTCTGATAAAAGGCTATTTGTGGCTTAAGCAGCTTGGTTGGTGGTGGTCTATAGAATTCTAAGCAGCCTCATTTTTAAGTCGTTATAAGAACTTGAAAGTTCCGATATCATAATTGAAGAGCATTCTAAGCAGCTTCTGGCGGAACTTGAACGGAACTTTCAGAAAATAAATTCAAAAAGGTTTTGTCCTCTACACCAATTCTATGTTTAGTTCGCAGTTTTATGAAAGTTATTTCTAAAGGCAGGTGTTATTATTAATGTGTTTGAAGAATTAAACCCAGTCCTTCTGCGTGCGAGCCCTAGCACGAACCGCTGCATCATCTGAGATATAGTAAAGTGAGCCGCCTATTGTTGGAGTTTTCAGTGCCAGCGAAACACGAAACACAACATCTTGATGAATTATAAATTGATGTTTGCCCGCATTCTAATCCAACGCATTTGTGACGCAGGAAATAACTTTTTTATTATGTTTTTTATGTTTGAATAGAATGTTGATGCACTGCATAAATATAAGAATTATGATTTATTCGGGCCGCTGATCATTTAATATTTACGTACATTAAATTTTGTTACTAATAAAGACTTGTGCGGATTGCATCATGCGGCTTGAGAGTTCTATCGGAACTTTATTTGAACTTTATGGAACTTGAAAGTTCTGTCGGAACTTTATTTGAACTTTATGGAACTTAAAGGTTCGGTCGGAACTTTATTTGAACTTTACGGAACTTGGAAGTGATTTTAATCGTTGAATGCAGAACTTTTGGTTACTTGGGGAATTACATTCTACTCACTTCAGTACTACCCGTACAAAGTCATTGGCAAGAGGCTATTGCTGATGGTATGGTTTGGATCGGGAGATGGAAGAATTGATTGCAAACTGCGCCGACTGCCAGTACGTACAGAGCCTGCGAAGTTGAACCTACATGTCTGGGAAGCCCCAAGGCTTGGAAAACTTCCTTATACGGTGCGACTGTATCTGGGAGCGTTACATTGACCACGTCGTCGGTGTGGGCGCTGATCTTTTTTTTTTCCTTAGGTTTGTTTTCCGTCGATCTTGTTTTCCGTGCTGAGCACCAATGCTACCGACGCCAGGAAGGCAGCTCCCACACCTGGACTCTACCTACCGACTCATCGACTCATGAACCGGGGACCAACGGCTTTACTTCCCTTCCGAAGGAAGGCGTGATCAGAGATGTTATGCCTCAGAACATCCCGACGGCGCCGACTGGGATTGAACCCAGGCCTGCTGGGGTGAGAGGTAATCACGCTTACCACTACACCATCGGCGCTGCTAGGGCACTGATCTGCGAAGCGATTCAGTGGACCCTCCAAGGGAGGAGTACATTGAACTCGACGGACCCACAACTTCGACTGCTGTGGGCCAAGCTGCTGCGAATCCTGTTGAGGAAGCTACTGGTACAACACCATAATAAAATTGTTATGGTTATTTTGCTTAACGACGTGTTCGGGTTATCATCCAAACAATTTGTGGAATAGTTCTATTATTTGGGTTATCGTTCGTTTATGGTATTTTTTTATTAGGGTGGTTCGTTGCGCTACGCCTGCTGCTATGACAATGTTGTCTACTCCTGGACCCCAGAAGCGTTCCTCGACTGCCGTGGCCGGTCGATCTGCTACGTTGGAGACTGCTCCGACGATCCTACGACGATCCAGCCGGGTAATCATACCTCCCCAAAGATTGAGTTTGTAATTTCTTTTACATAACCAACTGTAACTTTCTTTTTACGAGGGGGAGAAGTGCTATACCGTTATATTAACCTTGATATAATAGTACATAGAGGTAACTCTAAGACTAGAAGGTCCCGGAGAAACGTGCTCAACTTTTTGGCTCAGCTCTGGTACTCTCTTCGGTCCCAAGCTAATCTATTCACCCCTCGAAACATAGGAAAATCCAATACCCCTCATTTTATCTGTCAAACTTTCATATCGAATCAAAACAAACATTGTGTAGTACTAGAATTTCTACTAGAATGGGGTACGTTAATCGTTTGCTTGGGACCAATAGGCTAGTCAAGTAGTGAGCCAATTTAAAATCATTAGTTTCGTATTGATTGTTGCTTTTACACTAGGAAGCAGAAGAAAATCAAATTTTTCTATCCTTGAAACACATTACGATGAGGGTAGATATACGTATATAGAGGGTCGGAATGTTCGGATCAAAAGAAACCACCACCAATTCCAGTAACTTATGTCCTCATGTTAACTAGCCTAACTTAGTCTACTTCGGTGCTACCGTCTGAAAACGGGCTTGCTCAGACAATCCGCTGGATATCGCTGCAAAAAGAGCCGTTCGTCGGTCATCTTGTATGGCTGGGTGTACCTGTGACAGAGGGTTGCCGTCGTTTTGCCCTCTACCGGCGGTGGTTTATTGTTGCTAGTTATGCAATATTCATGGAACGAGTATCGGCTCTCGTAGTTGCCCACAACGCTGTACGAAGGAGGCTGCTCGACCAACAGTGCCCACGATATCCGAGAATAGAAGTACAAAATTCGTTCTAAGTATCGTGATGTTGCTCTGTGTGTTTGTTTGTGTGTGTGTGGTTCGGTGGGTTTTGTTTTTTGTGGTTTGTATGTAGTTGATGAGAACATGCGCTTGGGGTTTGGTTTGGATGGAGATGCTGTTAGTTTGGCCAAAACTGGCCATAGAGAGTGATGAACCGGAAAGAGAGATGCAGATAAGTAGAAACCAATTTTGAATGCATAGAACCAACCTCGTTCAGCAAAGCAGCGATGAGCATGGAACACCACGGAGTTCTTCTAGTATTCACTATTTCAGCTTTAACATGTTTTTAAGACGATTTTAAGCACGAACCACATCATAACTAACACTTATATCCTATCCAAAACATTGAACATTTACAGAAAACAAACACATGACATGGACTTTCGGACACTGGAGATTTGGTACTATTGAATGATCAGACGAAATGAAAACATGTATTCAAGACAAACACACTCTTGCATTTGGTAACAGACAGATGCTCAAGCCCAAACAAAGAAAAAAAGACAATTCAAAACGAGGGATAATTCTGCATAGATTTACTCACCGCATCGAGGCGATTGATCGACGGCGACATCAACGGGGATGGTTCCTGGTGAATAATCGGTGAATCTTGACCACTGATACCCATCCGGTTGATGGATGAAAATTCCGGAATTTTCGTGCCCGGCGAAGCACTGTTCGGAGATATACTTGCAGACATCGGTCTAGCCGGGACGGAGATCCTACGCAGCGGATGTTTACCGGGAGAGTTGGCTCCAGCGAAGCTAGCAACCGAACTACTGCGATTCAAATTTTGCTTCAGCTTGCCTTTATCGGTAAATACGAACGGAATTGGCTTTGGTTTGGCGGGTTTATTTGAACCATCAGCCGCAGCTTCATTCTCCGAGGTTCGACGCAGGACTACGGCTTCCGCTTCCTTCTCAAACTTCTTGACGATGAACCGAAACGGAATGGCCCCGTTATTCAGGTAGTGTTTAATCGTTTTGAACGACAGAGCAATACAGCTTTCGTCTTCGAGCTTGGCACTCAGGTCTTCGCAATCGGAAACGCACGGTTCCACAAACTTGACTCTTCGGATGTCCTGCTGGGCGCGGGATCGAATCTGAAACTCATAGTAATACTGCTTTGCTTCCTCACGACGCCCGAAATAGATGATCATGAAGTAGACCATTTTGGTTGCTACATTCGATGAGAAATAGAACAGAAACTGCTTACTGAAGGCATCCACCAGCTTGATGCTTCCCCTGGAGTTGGCCGCTGAGAAGGGGATCTCTGACTCCTGATAGTAGCTGAATGGTTTGCCCAGAATGGCGTGATCATTCCTGAGATGCTCTTCGATATCGCGCTGCAGCCCGGACCAATTGCAGCTGGAATCAGAAAGACGGTTAACATTCACATTTTTAGACATTTTCTGCACGATAAACTAACGAGATGACGGAGAGCTTGGAGCCAATGCAGCGATACGGTCGGTACTTGCACTCTTTCAGGTGAAGCCGCATGTCCTGAGGACCAAAAACCCACGTGCAGCCAGCGGATTTGTACGGGCACGGAGTCTTGCTGTGCATCGCTAGCAGCTGCTCGATGGGATTGCCTTTCTTATTATCAAAGTATTCGGAGCACTGAAACGGAAATCGGAAATAATGAACCATTCAGTGAGAGCTATTTTCACACAGATTATGCTGTTCCATTGGTAGGAAGTAGAAAGGGTATCTCTAGTAGGAAGTAATAAAAATCCCCATTTATAAAAAGTGAACGATAACCTAAAGAAATCTGGACTATTTCGTTCAGTTTTTTTCCAGAAATTATTGTTAAACAAACCACAATTGTTTTTTTATATATATATCCCATGCATTTTTACCCGGTTTACTAGGTTAAAATTACGTTTAAGTTTTCCCCAGAGAGCCGAAAGGGAAATCACAAATCGTGTGTCATCATGTGTATTACATATGGTATGTTGAGAGATTGAGCTCGCAAGAGAGAGAAAAAGTAGCTTACTCTCTTGGTGATCGATTGAAAGTAAAATGTATTGGCAAATCAAAGTTGCCACTCGTGGAGAATAGACGAACTATGAAAGTGATGATGGTTTCAAAATTTTCCACGGACAGGTATACGAGTGTAATCTTAAAATGCTTTTATTTTGAAAACTGAGCATTGAATTTAAATCTGGTTGTTGCTACAGTTGTAGAAAAGCTGAAATCTATGCATACACCTAAAAATCTGAAAAGAAATTATTTTTTCTATATTATATATCTATTGAGTAGTCCTTAAGTTTTCTACTAACGTAGCACTAACCAGATTTAAATAAAATGCTCCATTTGCAAAATAAAGGCATTTTAAGATTGAACTCGTATACCTCACCGTGTAAAATTTTGAAACCATCATCACTTTCATAGTTCATCTATTCTCCACGAGTGCCAACTTTGATTTGCCAATAGAAATGAACTGTTTTATTGAGTTCCAAAGAAGGTAGATATTTACTATCTCTATGTCTGTCGCTTAAGGTCCATTTAGACCTATTTAGACTATCTGATTTCTTGGTCTGATTCGAGCGGACTGCTCGATAATTTTGTCAGATGCAATGTTCGGATGCGTTCACACTTTTTCGACATCATGATTAGATTTGACGTTTGATTTGTCGAACGAAAAAGGTTTGTTTAATTTTCATTCGACTCATTCAGCGAAGTAGCCGCAAGCGAGGAGAAAATATTGATTTTTTTTTTTTTTCTAAAATTTCACGGATTTGACTTGTTAAAGAACGCTTGATATGTGTTTTGATGGCATCCAGCAGCAAAGTAAACCGATTTCATTATTCAATATTGTCCTGTGTATGATTTGCTGATTTTTTTCCAGTATTATTGGCCGAAATATGCCGCAATGGATTTGTTCATGGCAAGGTCAACAAAACAGCATGTTTTATATAAGAATAAGCATGCCTGACAGTAGGTCTGAGAGCCTACTAAGATTTTTTAGAGCTTCAGAGAGGTTCGGAAATGTACTAATAAATTTGTTGAGCTGCAGGATGTAGTTCGTAGATCTAAGAACAGAACTACAAAACTTCAGAAAATTTTACAGAAATTTAAAGAAATTCGCAGAAGTTCACACAAGTCCAAAAATCTACAGAAAAATGAAAAGAATTTCACAGAATTTTGGAGATCTACTTAACAATTATTGATCATCAGAAAAGTTCGTATATATTCAAAACAAAGCTGCAGAACTTTGAAAAAAAATTACAGAACTTCTGAAAAAAAAAATCACAAGAATGGTCATAGATCTACAGGTTAATTTAAAGGCCTTCAAGAAAGTGTGCAGATTTGCTGATTCTGATGGATCTTCAGTGAAATTTGCAGAACTTCAGGGAAGTTCGGCATAGCATAGCATAGCATAGCATAGCATAAACCAGAATGCACAATGTCGTAGATGGTACGAGCTCCAAACTGTTGTTAACAAGGAGACCCACCTTCATCCGTTGCTGTTAGATAGTGATTTGTGATTAATAACTATCTCTTATGTAAAGGATGTGTCTCCCTCCAACAGACCAGTACTGTCCTGCCCACGTCCTTGCATCTGGTGGGTTAAGGGGAGGAATGTTAGTGCGATACTTACTTAAGAGAGATGCAGAGAACTCTACGACCCCTCATAAGTGTCACGGGAAGGGTGGATTTTTGTTAGTAGGGAGGGTAAGCCATAGGATACGCCCAGCCGGCGTTGCTGGCAATCGTTATATCAAGCATTTAATAAATAGAAGCTGTAAGTAGTTTATCTGTTTGTTGTTGCTGCCCATTACCTAAACATATTCTTCAAAATTGTCTTCAGATTTTGGAATTAAGAAACATTATCAGCTCGATCCTATTGCTCCTTTGGGCCTGAAAATATTTGTTGATCCTAAACATATGCACAATTCATTCTGATCGATAGGAGGTTCTCATGTGTGAAAGGTTATTAATAGTATGTGGAATCGTATATTACAATGAAGATTCGCCCTTAGCATAACTCCCACTGTCTGGCAGTGGTATTATGGATAAAATCTGCCTTATGAATGCAAAGGAGCTTGAACCCGGGAGTTAGAAGGTGACAGCTCTACCGCAGCTACAATATTTAGCCCATGTTAAGAACGAAAGCATTCCGAAGCAATTTTCACACATGATAAGCCCCGCTCCAATACATTATCGATGCAAATATACACCATTGATAATTTACTGAAATTTCTTCTTGATTGACGCATAGTAAGTTTTGAAATGATTGTCTTGAATTAGATGGATATTTCCTATCGGACAGACGAACGAAAAGGTAAATAAACTTGAATGAGCGTAACTACGCGTAGGTTAGAACAGTCGGCACCACATGCATCGGATAAGAATTTGAAATTTTTCACTTAATGCACTTTTCAACATCACTTCTGTACTTTCAAATTAACACTTTTTAAAAATGAAATTGTAAATTTATAATATTTTCACTAGAACGAAAACGACGCAGCAAAACAAAAACACTTCATTTTCGCAGCGCGGCCTACTTCGAGCACTTCAGGGAAGTTCGGCGATTTAAAAATAAATATTTATACGATTTCAGGGAAACATGTAAATCTTGAGAGAAATATTTAAAACTTCAAGGAACCTCATATCTAAAGTGATTTGATGTGTTGCACTCTAGTCTGGAATGATGCACAGGGAACCAGTGCTGTAAATTCTCAAAATCATTTGAACATTTTTGATGAAAATGAGAAAAGTAGCTATTCGCTATCAAAGGGGACCTCCTCCGAATGGGTGATATCAGTTGCTTAGTCATTTGACGAAGGCATGGATCATTCTCATTTCAGAAACGCTATATATCATTCGATTGAGTGTAACCTACACACAAACGGAGCTCTGGTCGACATTCCGGCGAAAAAGCTAAGCCAACCCGACACCAACCTGACTTCTATCAAACCCCAACCCGATGTTGACCCGACATTGACCCGACATAAACCCAAAATTGACCCGACATTAACACGACATTGGGTCGACATCGACCTTAAATTAGCCTTACATTGAACCGACATCGGGTCGACTTGTCTGTTCGGGACCATTTTCCTGGATTTCTTCCATACTCCACTGTCGTATATCAAATGATACTGAGTGACTCAATTGACAGTGACAATGAGCTTCGAATGAGAAAGGGGCTCATTCCTCGCCGATAGCTTGAAGTAGCCGGACGTAGTTTGTTCGTGTCTCCGTTGCGGGTATTGGTTCCGTAGCCGGTGGAGTTTTTTTTTTCCCACCATAGTGGTTTTTTTATATCGCGCGTTTTACCTACCGTGGACGAAGTTCAGTGCCCAAGGCAACCGCAGTCAGCAGAGGAAGTAGCCACCTTTAGCGACGCTATAGGTGGACTATCATCTCACCGTCATCATCTCATCACCACTCCAAAGCAGCAAGCAACAAAAACAAAGCAGCAAACGGAGTGGCTGCACCAGCTTACACAGCCGGCACCGGCCGGTGTTAAGTATTCTATACAATAGTCTTCTCTAGCCCATTGCCGCGCTTTTGTTATTGAATTTTGCGCGTGGCTTTGCCCTCTCCCCTGATAGGGTTGTGAGGGCTATAGTGGTGCAACTTCTTGCAACTAATAAAAAGTTTTTTTTTTTTTTTGATAATTTTGTTATTGTTTTGTTTGGTTGTTCATACACTGGGCAACAAAATATTAACAACTAGTAGTTAAGTAGATTAATTGGTGAAGGTTTTTTGAAGTATTTTTTTTTTCCTTTTTAAGCGGTTGTGCACCGCGTTTGCGCATCACTTATGGCGTCTTCAGATACCTACGTTGCGCGAACTAGATACTATCAACCGTCTTCGGTTTGTCTTTTTTCGGCCTAAAAATAAACCTTTGAAAACTCTCGACATTTCGAGAGACTTGCTGCGTAAGTATCCGGGAATCTTGGTACATAAAGAGAGATTCAATAAACTGCGTGTAGAAGCACCGACTTATGATGTGGCAAATAAAATTGCTGAACATGAGCTGTTTGGTGTTGAGTACAACATCTACATCCCTTCTCGAGATGTGGAGATAGAAGGTGTGGTCTCCGACGCGAGTCTGAGTGTCGAGGATTTAAAACGAGCATCGGGTTGCTTCAAAAACTCGAAAATCGGTCAGCAGGTACAGATACTGGATGTTAGGCAACTGCATTCAGTATCTTTGCAAGATGGCAAGAAAGTTTATCAGCATTCAGACTCGTTTCGGGTGACTTTCGCTGGTTCAGTTCTCCCAAACTTTGTCAAAGTTGATGGTGTACAGAGGGTATATAATTGTACCAACTGCAAAAGGCTGGGACACTCAGCCAGCCATTGCGGCAACAAAACTCGTTGTGGCAAATGTGGTGAAAACCACAAAGAGGATTCTTGCCACAAAGAATCAGTAAAATGCGCTTATTGTGGCGAGAATCCTCACCCCTTGCAGGAGTGCCCGATGTACAAGCGGCACTCCGATAAAGTGCAGCGTTCAATCTCTGGACGCTCCAAGCAGTCATATGCACAAATGGTGAAGGCTGCATCAGCCGTCCAAGATGAAAATCAATTTTCGATTTTGTCAGCTGAAGAATCGGACTCTGACTCATCCGATGAGGGTGACTCTACGGTGGTACACGCAC